GCCTCGGTAACATTCTGTTTAAAAGCCAAACAACAAGAAAAAGAAAAAAAGAAATGAGTACTGTATATAAAATACAGAATCCTTGAAACATATTATACACCATATGTTTATGTGGAAAAAAAATATATATATATATGTAATATTAAACACATGTATTTTGGCAAAGCGCGATAACCTGTCCCGGTTGATCGATAACAACATTTGATGTCTTTGGATAGTCCTTCTGTCACATGATAATAATATTAATTTTATAGATATGTAAATATAATATTTAATAGTACAACACATTGATTAAGATTAAACCGACCATTTGAACTCCTTCATCTGTATGAGGGGCTTCTTCCATTTCACGAGGTTCAGAGTGAATTCCAGCATTTGCTTCATCAGTAACATGTCCATCTTTATTTTGGCCAACCTATTTTAATAATGAATATCAAGAAATTAATATCAATTCCCAAAAAAAAAAAAAATATATATATATATATATACCAAAAAACATGACTGTAGTATGTTTGAGATATATTAATCTATCATATAATATGATTAGTGATTAAAAGCTAACTACAAAATGCATTGTCAATTATCTCTCATGATTACAGTGAAATGAAATATACATAAACATGATATAGACTATTCATTTAATAAGCAGAAATGTGATTCATATATATAAACATGATATAGACGATTCATATACTAATCAGAAAAATATTATACTTTGAAATGAAATATACAAAAAACAAAGGACACAAAACTGAATACAAAAAAACTACTTGCAACAGTTATCAAAAATTATTATACTTTGACAAATATGTACTTACATTAAACTTTTCCTTGAATAAGGCAAATTCTGCAAATACCCGGTTGGAAAAGTCAAGGAAAATTTGCTTCAGAGTTTCAACCTCATGGGTAAGTCTGTCAAGACGTTTTATGACGTCTGCTTCACTTTTCTGCTGATGGTGGTCGGTTGTCGGGATTTCATCACGATTAAACTCATTCTTGCTCTTGAAAAAATCATTGATAAACAACGTGTGTTTCTCTTCGTCGGTGGGTATCACGTTCTTGAACTGACGATAAAAAAGAAAAATTAAGAATTTAGTGTATGGGGGTATTTAAGTAAATACAGGAACATATGTACGTATCTTGCAAATAATTATGTACAGATGTAGTTATTACCTTGCTGGAATCCAAATTTGAAAATATTCTTTGCATGAAGGCACGGTTGTGACTACCACGTACTTCCCATTTGAGCATTCTGGGCATGTCATTTTCGCTTAGGCATGTGCAAATTACACCATCTGCAGAGGTGCAAACCTCGTAAAACCAAAGTTGGAGTGCAAGGATAAACCCGTAGCACCTGTAGAGGTAGCCACCAGTCACTGGTTTCCCGGCTTTGTGGATCTGTTTTCGATATTGGGTGGATTTCTTCAGATGGTGCATCGTGAACTCAAACACTTCGGTTCCCCAATCAAAATCATCACAATCGGCGCTGTCTATCATGTCAAGGTAGCATCTATCTACCTTTAGAGTGTCTTGCGACCCAATTAAAAAATTTGCAAGTAAGTGTAACTTGGCAAATTTAACAGCATCTTCATCGCTTTTCCAGTATTTTTGTAGAAACTGCCAGCGGATGAAGTTTCTGTTTAAACCAACGCCAGAAAAGAATTTGTCGTACATTCCATCGTGTACTTGAGGAATATTCAACTTCTTGCAAGGGCCTGTACACTTCAGCCCTGTTATCAGGGCAAATTCTTCGATGCCAAACCGAAAAAACCTCCCCCCAAAGTCAAGCCAAAGCTCGTCGCTCCTTGATTGATGCACCTCCCGTAACAGAATCTGATTGACAAGCTGGTTTTGAACCTTGCAGTGTGGTAGATCCAAGAACTTACCAAATGCAGATTCTCTAAACAAATCTAATTGCTCGGCTGAAAGCATTCGCTTGATTTCACTTATTGTAGAATCGTCTCTGCTGTTGTCATTACTGTTTAGAACCTTAACATTTAAATCCCTGGGATTTGGTATGATCAATTCCCACTCCTACAAGAAATAACATAACTTGATGTGATAACTTAATAACATTGTACATAACAAACATAAACCTTCAATTATTAGTTTTGTGATGACCAGAACTAAACATATAATGATTCTTGAACTAACATTAATTAAATATATGACATATTTTGATGTTAACAGGTTACCAATCATAAACACTCTTTGACATGTTTCACATATATTGTACATATACCAGATTCAGGAGTAAATATTGAGACATATACAATTTGACATGGTTACAAACATTGATATATATATATATATACATACATTCATACATATATACAATAAATAAACTCAGGATTGCTTTAAACTAACCTATACATATGCACTGTGAATTAATTTCACATTACACTGAAGTACAACATAAACATAAACATCAAATAGACTACTCATTTACTCATCAGACAACTAAACTAAGGATATTCATATGCTATGTGACTTAATATTGTCATAACAAACAAATCAAACCATAACAAACCATGTTCAAACATGACTACAAAAATACCTTTACACAGAAAATAAACTTTACAAGAAAAGCTCGATTTCGAACATGAATCTTATCAAAGTAAAAGAGTATTCTTCAACAATTTTAAAAGGTTCAGTGGGACCAAATTTTTTCGTCAAATTAATATAAACGTAAAAGAACTTTGTCAACAATGGGACCACATTATATTGAAAAAAACAATATTTGGACTTTGTAAACTAGGAACTCAATATATGAAATTAGCAGATAACATTCATCACAACCATTTTCACCTTGAATACCTTGACTATCGGACAATCCCCAGTTGTATTGCCTACAGTACTGCTATCTTTGGTCCTCTTTTTTTTGAAATGACGTCCTTCTTGTAATCCATCCTTCTTTTTTTTACTGAATTTCATCCCAGATATTTGCTCATCCTCATATTCAGAATCATCTACTACAGCGTGCATTTCATCCTCAGCATGATAATTTGGATCTCGCGACTCTTCTGCTTCAGCCACATTTGAGATCTTTCTTTTTTGAGTTCTCCGAGCATCTTTGTGATGAACTTCGCCATGGTCCGACTGAAAGTCGTCGGAATCTGGGTTGGCACTCTGCCTAATGTGTCGGGATTTGCCGACTTCCTTGCTTGTTCTAGTTGGCTTCATGTTCTTTTCGAAATCGAGCTTCTTTTGTATGAGTTTGCTTTTATCTCTGGCAAGGATCTGCTTGATACGTGTGCTGGATCGCCTGTGTGGATCCCCTCCGGTACCGGGAGTTGGTGGGTCGCCGGCTACGGGAGGCAATTTCGTTTTTGACATGAAGATGAAACCTAGGGTTTACAGATGCTGTAGTTGATTTGTTTGATCGTGGGTTTGGGGTTGTGAGATGAGAGATAATTGATTATGTGCGATAATGGGGGATAGTTTTGATTTCATTTGGTAAGTTATCCCACAAAATCAGCATTAACTGACCCCAATATATTATTGTTCTTATTTTCGTATAAATGCAATATAAATGACAAGAATTAGTAGTTGTGCTAAATTTATTTGTTGAAGTGTAAAGTTGTAAATAAATATATGTGGAGTCGTGCCACATATAATTTCCTCAAATAAATATCCAAATGGATCGCAAATATTTCCAACAAATTGGGCCGATTAGCAAACTTAAAGCTTGATTTCACGATGCGAGGAACCGAGGGGTTCCGAATTATAAACCAGTTGACGAGATTAATAGAATCGTACGACTTATAATATTAATTAGACGACATCTAATTAATAAGTTTAAACGAAAAATGTCAAGCAATTACCTGAATAAAATAAATATAATAAACTACGACAATTCATAATATTCAAATGGGAACGAGAATTACCTTACGTGATCAAATCGAAATCGTCGGCCACGAACGTTTTAAAATAAAACGAACTAGTACTTAAATATTTTATTTACATGCCAATAATGACAACATCACTGCCAATAATAATAAAACAATATATATATTTATTTATATACATAATACACACAATAATATTTATTAATAATAGACAATTATTAACAACTAGGAAATTAATAGCAATTAATCAAAATAACAAGAACAACAACAACAACAACAACAATAATAATAATAATAATAATAATAATAATAATAATAATAATAATAATAATAATAATAATAATAATAATAATAATATAATAATAATAATAATAATAATAATAATAATAATAATAATAATAATAATAATAATAATAATAATAATAACAATTAAGCATTTAAGCAATTGATAATATTTAGACAATCAATAATAATACAAATAAATAAGCAATAATAAATATAATAAATAATTTTAAATAATTTTCAAATAAACGGGACATTACAATCTATCATCCTTAAAATATTTTCGTCCTCGAAAATGCGAAAGAACACGTAAGACTCGAACGGGAATTTCCAATCATGAGGTCCGGGTATCCCCTCCGAAACTCGACCCCGCTCGGATGAGTCTTACCGCCCTATACGTGAAAGGTATACACTCACATACTGGACACAAATCCGACTGGCCCTATGCTCATATGTTTACCTTCTTGCCTGGGAGGATGATCAGTCTTGCCCGAGCTCAGGCGTACATCCTCTTGCAAAGGACCCAGTCCGGCTTGGCCTATACCCATGAATATCGACAATTTCGCATCGAACCTAACAACACACAAGACCTCAACAGGTCGTTCGGTGTATTGCCAGCGCACTCCGACTCCTCACCTTCAAGGTGGGCACGTGACGCCAAGCTTCAGTCTCGACTCCAAGTCACACTGATGACTTGCTCACGATTCATCACGGTCGTGCGTCTCCATCAGAGACAACGACACGGTATACGCCACAACCCCAGATGCCCATACTCAAACGATATCGACTCCAAGAGTCAAACGCAGCCCTTATGTGCAATCATAAGGCTTGGCAAAAAGCAACATGACTTTCCCAATTCGCCGACTTGAGAAACTCCCAAGTAAAGCATAGGTACTCATCGACTACACTCCTTAATCACAAATCATCGATTAAGGTTTTTTTTTACATATTTCTTGTGTGACTTGGAGTTCTCGGTTCAAGGCTCGTAAGAAAAGGTTTTAATAGGCTAACCAAAAGGTCCAGCATGATACAATTCGAAAAGTTCAGTAAAACATCGATGGTTGGCCGTATACGCTGGCCTGAGGAGTTCGTGCGTTCGGTGATGGCGGCAGCAGTTCGCATGCGAGTCAACGGTCGGCCGCACGTAAGCCTCACGTCTCTCAGCACGGTCGTGCGTGCTCGACCACCACTTCGCGTGGCTACACCCAGCCAGGGTCAGCTTTTGGTCCAAGGTTCCACAAGGAATTTACAATCCAAGACAATCCAAAAAGGTGAATCTCAAAAAGTTTGGGTTCAATAAAACAATCTATGCATCAGGAATTTCACAATATTCAAAGGTTTGAGGGTTTCAGAAATAGCAAGGTGAAAGTCCGAGTTCCAAGTCCACTTCATTTCTAAATGACACATAATGTTGCAACACTTGAACACAACAAGAACAAATGTTTGCAAGGGATCACAAAGTCCCAAGACCACGAAAGATTTCTCCCGAAACTCTGTAAGGAGTAGAAGAACGAGAGATTCTACGATGGACAAAATTCAAAACCAAGACGGTTCTGCACTTCACGATGTGCTTGCTCCAAACTTGACTATCCTCCTTAAAAGATTTCTGCATAATCTTTTAAGGTGGAAAGAAACACTCTTTGACATGCATCAAATCAGTCCATCTTCCTTATCGAACTGATTGGTGTTGGCTTCTCCTCCTGTGCGTTCATCTCGATGTCGAGCGCGAATAATTATAGTCTTCCTCGAGAGTAGGTTATTCACGAAAGTGGCGATAGAAAATTTTTCCCTCAAGTCTTCGTGATGACTTAGTGATGACACCCAAACGAAACTCACATACTTCGCAAGCAAATAAAGATAAGCAGAAACCAAAAGATGCTTAATCTTACTTGCAATTGGGTTTTTCCAAAAACAAGGTCAATAGCCACATAAGATAAATAAGAATCGGCTAAACTTCAAAAGGAACAAAATTTAGGGTTGGGAAACTTAAAAGAATGCTTACGCAGCAAGACCAAGATAGGGGAAGATCAAGTGAAATTCTCAAAATACGAAAATTGGATAACAAAAAGGAGTTTCAAGCACAATTCGAAATTGTTTGCCATACAAAAGGGAATAAGCAAAGGTTTGCAAAAGTCTACAAGAAGACAAAAATTCAAAGATGAACCAAGACTGCCTCGCATCCACTAGTCCACGATTCACTGCCTCCACTATCGGTTCAAGTTGTTCTCGGTAAGCCCCGCGGCCACCAGAGAATCACTCGCGGCTCAATATACGGAAAAGAACTTTGGCAAAAGAATAGATCATTGTCACCTTCCTCAAGGCTTAGCCACTCTCGAGGGTTGTGACTGTGTTACGTATCAAGTTTCCCCACTACGCCTCGGGGTCGATCAACGGCAACAACAAGGCACCCAGACTCTACTCCCAGTTCGTATTCGACTGGGTTCTAGTACGCATCTAAGGGTCCTATCGACAACGGTTACAGACTTCCAAATACCCATACAACAGGGACTTCTTCGGTCGTTTGCTCCCTTCATTCAAGCCTTCTCTTTTCGAGATGGCATTGCGAATGGTCCTTACTTGAGGACCAAGTTTTTATAGCGAGAGCACTGCTATAAACAGAATTCAACTCGATAACATCATATCGAATTTCCAAACAAACAAATTTTTAAGTCGAACTTAACTCTATACCGCTAGAGTTCAAGTTCATACAACTAAGTCCGCACTCATCTAGAGTTCAAGAATGTTTGAAAACAGGAGGATAAATTTCTAAGCCCCAATTTCACTTCAATAATCAATACTCAAGCAATGCACAA